CAAGTAGACTTTCACTACATTGCCTTCACAACTCCTATAGATGAACTACACCTTCACAACTCCCAGTCCTCAATCCTGACACCCAAATAGGACAATGTGTATTTCCTATCCATATTTGCATAAAAAAGGGTTATATTATTTCTTTCTTTCTTTTTTTTTTATTGAAAAAGTTTTCAAATACAAATTTTTCCCCCTTTTTTTCCCCCTCTCCCTCCCCCTCCCTAACCCCCCCTCCCCACCCATCCCCCCTGTGACTTCTTCATAACAAAAAAAAACCTAATTCATAACAGATTACTTACTCCCTCCTCTAAATATTGACCTTTACTTACTAAAAATATTATTAATATTATAACATCCCCCTTTATCCATACATTTCTGAAAAGAGAAAAGAAAGGGGAAAAAAAAGACATTATACTATAACATTATAGAATAACTTCTCCACTTAACTATACGATAAGTCCTACTTTAACATTTAATCTTCTATATATATTACTATAACATTTCAAAGCGGCCTTCCCCATAAAATCTAGTTTAACATTTATTCCACTCTATCCATTTCCTCCACTCCCCTAAATATATCACTTAAAAATCCCTTTTCTTAGACTAATCAATCTACTAACTAGCTTATTCACCCACTATCATGCAAAATTACCATACACATTTCTTAATATCTTTGATTCACTGCCCACACTACTTAAAAATATATGTCTATATTTTCCATTATATCTAAATAAAAAAAAAAGAAAAGACAATGACTTTAAATTTATAATCCATATAGTATCTTCTTTGAGGTCTTTCCACTGGATTGGTAGAACCAACATCCATAATCGGGTAACATAGCTTGCTGGTGCAACAGTTTATTCAGGATCTTCAATCATATCTGCCCCCATCAGTAGTAAATATCTTCTTATATGTATAAAAGTAAAAACAACCACCCGAGTGACATTATAATTATATTCCATATAGTAATAATTGTGGGTTTCATCAGGATTATTAATTCCCATCATCGTAGTGGGTAACAACCCGATCTTCTGCATGCCCCAGCATAATTCTCTTGCCTTGTGATTCAAGATAATATAATATGTTTATCAACACAAAAAGAAATTCCAAAGTGGATAATTCAAATCCATCAGTTTAAGGCTCGTTTCACGTCCCCAAATTACGGCCATGCAGAGATCTGCCACAATCCTCAGGATGATATTAACCAATACGTCACCTCTTCCATGTTTACACATAATCATTCATATTTTAAAGTCACTGGCTTCACTGTTGCCTGATTTAGAAATTTCTATTTTTATGCCACCTATTTCTTTTTTTTTTCTTTTCTTTTTGTGGGTTTGGTTTCCATCCTGGTTTCCTTTCTACAAATTGTGTATCATCTGGTCGGTTTTTATTCTGCTTTGTAGATTGGTCTTGCTGGTTTTGTTTTTGTATCTCATGTTTCTTTTTTATCCCTTGTATATCCCCTAATTGGTTTCCATGCTTATCCTTGCCTTGATAAGTCATCACATTAAGGTTAGATGCCACTTCTCTCAAATTTGTAGATAGTCCAGCTGGGGTATCCAATAAATCCAAAGGCAATTCATCTGGTACAGTCTCTGTAATTCGATATTTTACCTTTATTTCCAGCTCCTTCTGCTTATCCTGTATTATACCTGAAGATGTTAAGTTCATTTTCAACCTATTTTGATAAAATTCTTCCGCTCTTTCAACAGTATTTAGCTGATATCTTTCTCCTTGGTATCTAAATATAATACCAACTGGGGCGTCCCACCTGAATGGGATATTTCTCTTTTTTAACTCATTCACCAGAAAACCAAATTTCTTCCTTTCCATCAATATCTTAGGTGGGAGTTCCTTGTAAATCCAAATCTTTCTTCCATCCAATTGCAAATTAGAATTGAAGGAATTTTGCACGATATTATTCCTAATTTCTTTATCTGTAAAATAAATCACCACATCTCTAGGCAATTGCCTTTGCTTGGCAATCCAGGAGTTTATTCGATGAGCTCTGTCAATCCTACAAAACACTTCCTCAGGTTGAACCTTTAGAATCCCAGCTAGAATTTCAGAAGATATTTTCCTTAAATCATCTCTATTATTTTCCTGCAAACCTCTTAATCTTATCGCATATTCTGTGAAATTATATTGTACCATTAAAATCTCTTTTTCAATCTTCTGTTGCAGATTTTCTACATTACCATACTTTTGATCAGCATCCATTTTAGGTTTTTCTTCTAAGCTATTATCCTGAGTGTTTGTCAAATCATTTTCAATTTTCTGAATTCTATTGTCCAGTTTATCTTGAGTTTCTTCCATTTTAGACTCTAGTACATTAGTATTTGTATCCAACTGTATCATAAATTCTGTAAAACCATTAGCCATTTTTGAAAAATTTTTCTCCAAAAAATCAAACTTAGATTTCACCAATTCTTTAATTTCCTGCTTAAATTTTTCAAGTTGCTGATTCACAATCTCCTCCCTTCTTTCAATCTCCTCTATAAAAAATTCTATTATATTAAAATCAGGTTTCTGAGACTGAAGAGTTAAGACTTGTTCCTTTAAGTTGTTGGTGGGGGAATCCCCCCCTTCTTGTTTATCTGACTTTATGAGTCTCAGTGCCATGTTTCCGCCCAGGCAGGCTTTGTTAAAAAAAAATCAAGAAAAAAAAAGACTTCTTTCCAATCAACAACAATATCAAGTCTCCAAGGGAAAAAAAAGAGAAAAAGACACAGGAGCGAAGTTTTGTCTACAAATGTAGCCAGTGGTATTTATTCCGCTACATTGTAGTAATAGAAAATGGAAGGACTTTCCCTTTCAGCCTCTCCTCCAGCCGACACCATTTTAAAAGGCTTTTTTTCCTCTTTCTTTTCCTCCTCTCTCTTAAGTAATTTTTTTTTTAAAAATCAGTAAAATACTTGCGGTTCAGTATTACAGGTCCAGCTCACGTTTTCTTTGAGTAGTCTGTTAAATTTGCAGGCTTGCTTTTTGACGCCTGGCTCTGCATTAGCAGAGGTCTCCCAAAGCCCGGAGCAGCGGCTGGGGATATGGGGCATCTCATCCGCTCCGTCCCAAAAGTAAAAGAAAAACTTTTGGGACTCCGCAGAGAGTTCTACGCACCCCTGCCAGCTCTATCTCCGTTTCCTCATGGAAACGGAGTTTTTTCGAGCCGCCATTCCGTTGTGAAGGCGGCTCTGTACAGGCAATGGAAGCTGACGATCCCAAAGGAACGTCTGGCAGCGACGAGCAGCAAACCGGAAGTCGGGTTATATTATTTCTGTTCTTAATGCAAATAAAGTTTAAAAAATTACTGGAGTAAAAAAAAATAAGATGGGAAAAGGAGCAGCAACAAGACATTTACAATTCAATAACAATTATAACTTTAACTTAAATTTCGTAAATGAAGTAGGACAACCGCTGTAAATAGTTTAGTCTGTAAGTCCCGACTCATCCTGCCTTCTACTTTCTCTCATCATCATGGCAAGGCCATGATGGAAGGAAAACTTAAAATGAGAGTAAGCTAAGTCATACAAACTATGATGGACCCATGAGATGATTCACATTTGTTCTACAGATTTTGTTCATGGGAAGAGAAAAATGTGTGAGGTGGGTTTTTTACTTGAAACTAAGGAGATATGATGAGGCCTTCACTTATAGGCAGTGGTTATAAATTGGCTGAGATATCTCCACTCACCTTTTGCCAAAAAAGAACCTTCTAATTGGTTGCCAATTCTCAGAGCTGCTAATTCTCTGAAGAAAAGGACTATCACATCCACATAACTAAAATGGTGAGAACAGTTCACTTATATTCAGCTTCATTTCAGTTCTGAAATTAGGCGACATTAGAGAACAGTAGTGGAAGTATTCTCTGGCCAGTTATTACAGACGTGTTCGTGTTACCACAATGTTTAATGCGTATTTCCTAAGGATCTTAGGTAATGATATTAGTATCAGTTATAGGTTGTTTGCATGTTTATTATTAATTTAAATAGATCTACAGATCTGCTGTTGGCAGCTTCTATAGATTCATAAACAGAAAAGCAATATGGGAATAAAATGCATTCGAGATATTCATTTCTGATAAATCATCTGATACTTCACAGAAGAGAAAACATTAGACAGTACAGTGCAACTCTGATATAATTAATATTATGCCATCACCATAGGTTCTGTTAGAAACAATTTGCTTTTATAAGACAAGATTTTTATATTGCATAGGTTTCAGAGTGGTTTAATTTAAGGATGATGTATATGCATACAGATTAATTTGATTCTGTGGCAGATATAGATCCAGTTTAAACGTTTTCAAGGGGAAACACTTTCCTAAACAACTTTCAGGGCACAAACTCATCACTGAGTTCTCAACATTTTTATTACACTGTTTAGGACCAAAGTACTCTGGAATTCAAGCAACATTGCCACTGCCTTTTTTAAAATTCCATTTTTTTTCAACACTCTTCAGATCCTAATGACCATACATGGTTTGTGTATTTTTGACCCAATTTTTAAAAACCTGGTAGCTTAAACAACTGAGTTTGAGTTGAAAAATGTATATGGGTAAAGATATTGCTTTAAATCTTGAATTATGGTTTTGGAAGATGTACTCATTACAGTAGACATTACTTGGAAGAGGTAAACCCCTCTGCATAAGAGAAATTGCAAAATACTTTAAGATATTGCTTGCCATCTACCTTTTTTTTTTTTTACAGAAGTTGTACTATATTTGGAATTAAATTGAGCAGTTATTGGGAAAAAAACAGTAAATAATTTTTACAATAAAATTTTAAAATATCCATTTGGGGAACAGTAAATTTTGGGTTCTTATTTAGCATATTACTTTCAGTCTTTGAAGATTAAATTTTAAAATGTGCTTCTTCAGCTAACAAAACTTCAAGGAAGACTGTCGGAGTCCTGAAAATAAATGACTTGGAATGGAGCAAATAGATTCCCATCACTTTCCCCAGTGTCTGTGTCTACTCCAGAGAGCTAGAAGGTCCTACCTTGGATATTTGGAGGGGTCTGTTCTGTTCAGAGCCTCCCTGTAAGCGGAAGCCCCAGGGGCCTCCTCCAGAGAGAGTTACAAGCACCTCTTCTTTGTCTTCGGCTCCCATCACCTCAGTACCCCTTTTGCGTGTGTGACAAACACCTTGGCTGCAAAATAAATCTCCAGCTCTTAGAGGAGCTACTTGTCCATTGCTACTTGTCCATTGCTGCAAGTAGCATCTACTTTCTCTAGTCCCTCCCAATGTTTGATTTTCTCTGGCCCACCCCCATCCTTTTCCCAGGCAGAGAAAAGCCCAACACCCGATACTCTTCCAAATGTCCAGCTGCTGAGCAGACCATTGCCAGGCGTTTCATACCCATTTTGGTAAGACGCCAGAGTTATTTGCACATGTATCTTGTCAATCTCACTCTCTGTCCTCTCCACCTCCTGGCGAAACAGATCCTGGATGTCTCACTCCAGACTCATGGCTGAAAATAGTTCACCTCCTGTCTTTTTAGAGCTTTGTCTCATTCTTTTCCAGCTGGGGAGGGTTTGATTTAAGCACTGCAATAAAACATGGAATTACAAAAGCTCCTGAAAGATTTCTCTGCTGTTACTTATTGCCCACATAAGAATTCTTTTTAAGATATTTGTTTCACCTTCATCAAAGCCACCTCTGTTTCTTGCAGTAAGTGAAGTGAGAAGCTTATCTGAGCAACACATTACAATGAGTGCCAGTCATTTCAGTAGGACTCATAGAGATTTTCCCTTCGGATAGTGTAATGCACAAGTATGGTTGTGCATGCTCCATGTATAGTAATGTATTATGCAACGGTCCATGAACAAAGTAACAAGATGATTTTTACTTAAAAAAAATGAAATAGTACATGAATTGGTTTATCAGTTATTATGGGAGACAAACTTTGTATCAAGTGGGAGATCAAATAGGTTCCTGACCAACCTAGCTGACAACTTTGGTATCCAAAAGGTAGAGGAGAGAACCAAAGGGAAACTACACTGGACCTAATTCTTACTAACAGAGAGGGGGTTAAAGTTGCAGGAACCTTGGGGAGAATGACCATGTCATATTAGATTAGAATTCAATATAATGCAGAAAACCCTCAAAAGAGCAAAACCAAACCAGAGTCCTAGGTTTTAAAAGAGCTGATTTCAACCAACCTAGAGAGAGCTTGGGAAGGACACAAGGGATGAGAATATTAAAAGGGAAAGCAACCCAAGAAGCTGGGGAAAGTCTAAAGCAGGAGTGTCAAACTTGATTTCATTGAGAGCTGCATCAGGGTTGTGCTCGACCTTGGAGGGGTGGGGCATGCCTGGGCGGGCATGGCCATGATGGGTGTGGGTGTGGGCATGGCGGACGTGGCACGGGACTTGGGGGGGGACACCTGTGGTGGCCAAGTGCTAAGGCAGCACTTCCCTGAGACCCTCTCTCACTCTCATTATACAGGAAATCATTGAGTTATGAATGTAATAGAGCCTGCCAATTACATTCGTAACCCGAGGATTCATTTGATTGAATCACATTAAATCAATGTGATCACTCCCTGCTTTCCCCAATGTATTTGTTAATTGAATGCACGTGAGGTATCTCAGATTGGGGAAGAGCCTGCGGGGCCTAGTGCTAGAGCAGGCCATCCAAGGCCTCCCCCAATCCACTGAGATACCTTATGCTTCCCTGGGGTCCCCACAATTGTTTCCCCACCCATCCTGCCCCACCGGGTCTCCACAGACTGGGCCTGCTTTGTTAGCATCCCAGATTCCACTTACTCTTCCCCACCCTATTTCCCATAGATTACTTACTTTTTGAATATCTTCAGAGCTCCAGAAGAGACCGACCCATTAGCAGAGAAGCCCAAAGTGATGGCGAAACTGTAAGAATGTGAAATCTAAGGAAAACATTTTTACCAGCTTCTGAGTAAAAGACTTCAGCTGGGGCCATGTGGCCAGCAGGCCTCTGGTAGTAGAAAAGGCCTGGACTGGGCCACAGCAGCCTCATGCTTCAGGGATTGATCCAGCAGCAGCAACCAAGCAACATGGAGCTTGCTTCCTTTGTCTCATCGGGCTGAACTGCAAGCCCCTTGTTGATTGACTGCCACACCCCAATCCCTGAAGCTGCTCATTCAAACTAGCCAGTCAGCAGCAAGCAGGAGGCTGCTTGTTGCTGGCCAGACTGGACCCAAACTAAACCTGCAGGCCCTCATGGCAGAGAAGCCGGTCTTTTATTCAGATGGAGAAAGCTGTTTTCCTTACATCTCTCCTTCTTACAGCTTCACGGGCTTTGAATAAAAGACTTTGGCTTCTCTGCCACATGGGTCAGCCTCTTCTGGAACTCTTCAAAAAGTAAGTACAGTAAAGCCATGGGAAATGGGGTGGGGAGGGCTGGATCCAACCCACGGTGGCTCCATTTCGGCCAGCAAGGGGCCGGGGGAGGCCTTTGAACACCCTGCGTGGCCTGTTTTTGGCCAGCAGAGTGCTGCAGGAGGCCAAAAATGGGTGGATGTTTTGGCCGGAAGAGGCACCATGGACCGGTCCTTTGATATTTCCAGGCCGGCCTCGTGGGCCAGATTTGAGCATCCTGCTGGCCGGATCCAGTCCACGGGCCTTGAGTTTGACACCTCTGCTCTAAAGAATATGATTATAAAAGCTCAGTCTACCATAATACCACTGAAGAAGAAAAAGTAGAAATCCAAGAAGATGGATTACATCCCAGTGCTCTGAAGGAACTGGCAGAACCATTGTATTATATCTTTCAAAGATCTTGGAGTACTGGGGAAGTACCAGAGGACTGAAAAAGAGCTGATGTGATCCACATTTTCAAAAAAGGGAAAAAAACCTGATCCAGGAAACTACAGACCAATCAGCCTGACATTAATATCTGGGAAGATCCTGGAAAAGATAATCAAGCAACAGATTTGCAAGCACCTAGAGACAAACAAAGTTATAACCAAAAGCGCATATGGGTTTATCAAAAACCGATGATGCCAAACAAATCTTATTTCATTCTTTGACAAAGTGACTAAACTAGAGGACCAGCGAAATGCTGTGGACATAGTATAGCAATAGCAATAGCATTTAGACTTATATACCGTTTCACAGTGCTTTACAACCCTTTCTAAGTGGTTTACAGAATCAACATATTGCCCCCAACAATCTGGGTCTTCATTTTACTGACCTTGGAAGGATGGAAGACTGAGTCAGTATACTTAGATTTCAGAAAAGTATTCGACAAAGTAGACTACAACCTACTTCTTAGTAAGTTAGAAAAATATGAGATAGACATCACCACCAGATGGATTTGTAACTGGTTGTAAATTGCTCTCAACATGTAGTCCTTAATGGAATTACATCTACATGGAAGGAAGGAAGCAGTGGGGTGCCCCAAGATTCTGTTTTAGGCCCAGTACTCTTTAATTTCTTCATAAACAATCTAGATGAGGGAACAGAAGGAAAACTCATCAAATTTTCAGATGACACCAAATTAGCAGGAATAAACAAGACCCAAGAAGATAGGCTCAAGATCTAGATGGATCTCGGCAGACTTGAACACTGAGCCCTATCTAACAAAATGAAATTCAATGTGGAGAAAAGTAAGGTTTTACACTTAGGCAAGAAAATAAAAATAAAATGTACAGGTAGAAACTTGAAGCTTGGCTCAATAGCAGTAATTGTGTGAGGGATCTTTGAGTCCTAGTGGACAATGACTTAAATATGAGCCAACAATATCCTGCAGCTGCCAAAAAAGCCAATGCAATCCTTGGCTGCATCAACAGAGGGATAGAATCAAAATCGTGAGAAGTTATATCGCTGCTTTATAATGCCTTAGTAAAACCACACTTGGAATACTATATCCAAGTTTGGTCTCTGCAATATAAAAAAGATGTTGAGACTCTGGAATGAGTGGAGAGGAAAGTGCCAAAGATGGTTGGGGAGCTGAAGGCTAAAACATATTAAGAATGGTTGCAGGAATTGGGTATGACTAGTCTAGTTAAAAAGAAGAACTAGGGGGTTCCAATATTTGAGGGGCTGCCACAAAGAGGGTCAACCTATTTTCCAAAGCACCAGAAGGCAAGGCAAGAATAAGTGGATGGAAACTGAACAAAGAAGCAACTAAGAACTAAGGAGAAGTTTCCTGACAGTAAGAACAATCAGTCAGAAGAACAGCTTGTCTTCAGAAGTTGTGTGTGTTCCAACAGTGGAGGCTTTTAAGAAGGGACTTTGTCTAATATGGTATAGGGTCTCCTGTTTAAGCAGGGGGTTGGACCAGAAGACCTCCATGGTCCCTTCCAACTCTACTATTCTCTGTTTTCTTGGCAAAGTTTTTCAGAAGTGGTTTGCCATTGTGCCTTCCTAGGGATGAGAAAAAGTGACGGGCACAAGGTCACCTTACTAAAACGACAGCCGCAGAGATTTAAAATGCTTTCTCCAAACTGAAATCTCTCAGCTACAATACTGCACTGCTGGCAACAACCGAATAAAGAAAAGATGGTATCCAGAGTTGTTATAAGTCTCATAATATAATTTTCTAGTAGTTTTAGAATGAAATGTACTAAACGTGTATTCTGCAATCCTTGCAGAATCCAGAAAATGGTGACAAACGATTTACACAACTTTGATCTGCCTGCCTTTTTCTCACCAACACAAGGACAGAGAAATGAGGCTCTGAGCCAAAAACTTTTAGGCTTCCCAGCAACATCTACAAGTCAATAAATAAACTAATCTGAACAGAGTACACTGAAGAGTGAAGGAAGGCTGATGAAATATACATATTTGGAGAATGTGAAATTTCAGTTGCAATGTACTTAGCTCTTTTAGAGAATTTAGCTTTCTTACCATTTTGGTTTATTTAAAAAATCCTTTAATTGTGGGTCCCAATATCAGAGAGCACCAATTTCATGTAGTGAATCAAATTGAAGGGGGGTGAAATTTAAGTTCAAATTCCTAACCATTCCTAAGGTTCCTAAGAACTACTTGTCAGTTTGTGATAAGGCTGCAATTGCTGGAGAGGGAACTTTGTGAAATGTTATTTAGGAATAAGTCCCAGAGACATCCACCTCCCCTGGCCCAGCCAGCCCATTCCACAACAGCAGATGAGCAAATACCAAAGTATTGGACCATACAAAACTCCTTTTTAAGGATATTCAAAGGCTGATTTATGGAAAAAATCAGAACACAATAAAAAGAAAACTGCAAAGAATATGTCCTACAAACTGCTTCATTGCTCACTG